TTTGCACGCATTAACTCACTGAAGCCTCACCACTACCCTGTGAGGGAGATGCTGTTATTTCATTTCACAGATGACGGAGAGGTGAAGTAACCTGCCCAAGCCACACACCTAGTGAGTCGTGGAGTCTAAAAGCAAAGTCGAGTGTCTCTGCCATACTGCAAAACATTCCAAATGTGTCACACCTGTCTTTCCTGTGCTGAGAGACCAGGGTAGCTGTATCCTTCCACAGCAAGACAGCAGGGTCCTAATTGCAAAGTTCGCCCCGTGCTTATCGTGGGCAGCCACACTTCCAAAGGATTTGCATGAATGTTTGAGGGTAAAAGCCTGCACTGTTGTAAGAAGAGACCCGGCAACAACATGGCTGAAAAAAGGAAATGCATTCTGTCTCACTTCTCAGTCCCTGAAGATGCTCCGAGTCAGCGGCTTCTCTGTTTCATCAGGAACCCAGGCTGCTGGCAGTTCTACTGTAGTTTCACATATGCCCTTAAAGGTCATTCTGGCGGCCACCGTCCTGACCAGCAGGGAGGCAGAGAGGAGAGGAAGGCAAGGACCAGGAGCTCCCTCTTAGGCAAGAGAGGCAGAAGTTGCATCAGTCACACGCCCTCTCATTCCACTGGCGAGAGCTGGCCACACCTAGCCACATGGGGCTTGGCCACTCCTGGCCACATGGGGCTTGGCCACTCCTGGCCGGTGAATCACTCCTAGTCTGGAAAATTACCTATACTAACCCAGATTTATGCCGGTGGAAGTTTTGGTCAACTGGCTTCCACGGGATCCTGTTCCACTCTAATAATTTCCAAGTGTCTTGAAGTCACACTACAAATTTCAACCACTTGCCATGGTTGACCTGTTGTTAAAGTGTTTAGTGATTAATTTAAAAAAGACTTTGTTGATTAATTAACAATCCACTATGCACTAACCAGCAAGGTTTATTGAGATACAAACCGTTTTCTTACACAGACCCTATTGCCCGTAACGGGCTTTCCAATGAGGGTCTACTTTCATCAAATGACATCTTTTAACACATACTACGTGGCTTTGGATTTTGACAGAACATTTCTGAGAGTTTTCCCAGGTGCACAAGCTCATATGCGTTTGCCATAGAGCAGCGGTTCTCAAACTTTTTGGTCTTAGGACCCCTTAACAATGAAGGACCCCCAAGAGCTTTTGTCACATGGAAAGTATCTATAGATATTAATCTTTACTATATTAGACATTTAAATTCAGGAACAATTTTAAATATTATTAATTTCAAAAGAACAATAACAAGCCCACTGCATGTTCAATAAATAACATTTTCAGAACGGACCTGGCCAAAAAAAATGGAGTCACTCATGCTAAACGCCACACAATTAAAGTGAAACTTTGAGGAAATAGGTAAATCCCAAAACAGACTAGTCTTTCCTGAAAACAAAAGATCCACAGCAACAAATCAGAAAGAGCCTGTTAAACTGAGTCAGCACAGTAAGGAAGTCCCCTCTGCTTTAACCCTTGCAAGAAAAGTAAACCCACTTTTTTTTCCTATTGTTTCCTTGTTCCCACCTTACAAAACCCTTGTTTTGTCATATCCAGTGGGATCTATTTTATTTTAAAGATTGAGATGTCCTGATTCATGAATTGCAAATAAAGCCAATTAGTTCTATTAAAAAAATAACATTTTTATAAAAATCAACCATATTTTCCCAAAAGATTTAGCAAAAAGAGTGGCACTGATTCACATTTTTGCAAATCTCTTCAATGCCCGATTTAAGAGAAGACAGCTAGATTCTCATATCTGATTCTGCATTCAGTCTGTTACCATAGCTCATGTCACATAGCCTCTGGAAAACTCCACTGGACGTTCGTGAAAGAATGAGAACAAAGAGAAAAAAAAATCTTAATATTAAGAAGGATGTTGCATGTATTATCTCATTGAATCTTCCTGGTAAAATAGCTAGGTACTATTCACACAACATCCTCTTTTTCAGCTGAGAAAACCAAGGCTCGGAGCACTTACGTTATTTATATGAGAATGCACAGTTAGGAGCAGAGAATGAGGACTGGGTTCTTCACCCCACACTCTCCTACAGCTGCAGGGGATGTAAAACAACACAGGTTCGTGAGAACCGTGACTCTGGGGAGATGGGAAAACACAAAACAAAACAAAGAGGAGAAAAAATGTACAGTTTCCCCCCCTTGGAAGCCATGGTAAAGAGAATGCATAAGAGGCCGGGCGCGGTGGCTCACGCCTGTAATCCTAGCACTCTGGGAGGCCGAGGCGGGCGGATTGTTCTGAGCTCAGGAGTTCGAGACCAGCCTGAGCAAGAGCGAGACCCCGTCTCTACCAAAAAATGGAAAGAAATTAATTGGACAGCTAAAAATATATGTAGAAAAAATTAGCTGGGCATGGTGGCGCGTGCTTGTGGTCCCAGCTACTCGGGAGGCTGAGACAGTAGGATCGCTGGAGCCCAGGAGTTTGAGGTTGCTGTGAGCTAGGCTGACGCCACGGCACTCACTCTAGCCAGGGCAACAGAGTGAGACTCTGTCTCAAAAAAA